ACCCCGCTTTAATCAAATCGCTTGATGTTGCACACACACCTGAGGCTTCATATTACCCGCTTCCGTTTTATTCCATTGTCTCGCACAGCATACCGACATAAAGAACACCATATAATGATTGACCAAGTCTTCCACGAACGTAGGCACGCTCAGTGTTACGTCTCCGTGCCGAACCTTGTGCATGCACAAACGTGATCTCGCCAACAGCCCAGCGTAAATGACAAGGCTGACCGTAAAAACCGGGGTCACGGGAGCCTGCGCAACATCGAGAACCAGCTTCCTAGTGGAAAGGAGAGCGGGGCAATTAATCGTGAATAGTACAGCATCCCAATGATCCATCGGCAGAATCTGAACGCGTTCTTAACGGGTCCTAACATCAGTTTCATAGTTACGTCGTCCACGCCAGGACATGGCTTTCTCGGCGAACCATACCGCAGACATGCCCACAGTCCCATAAACGACCGCGCGGAACGCGAGATGAGCCCGCTCCACGCCGAAAAGGGGGACAAGTATCACCAGCAGACCGCCGAGGAGGTACACGCCAAAGACCGAGAAGCGCCGCTCCGCGCAGAGCGCCGCGAGACTGCACTCGTGTCAATCAGCACTCGGCGACGGGATCGCAGACAACACGTACTAGCTGAGCGCGCCAAAAGCGATGGCACCCCGAGGGCCGAGCGCGGTCGCGATGGTGCGCTGGCCGGCGGTGGCGTCCACCTCCGCATCGACGGCCGCCCCGAGCGCATGCACGCCCGCGGTGCACAGCCCGAGGACGAGTCCGCCCGTGGGGACGCGGCGGAGCGAACCGCCGCGCGCGGTATACCCTGAGAGGTACGCGAGGACGACTATCGTCCCGTTCGAGAGCGAGTCGAGCACTGGGCGCTCTTTCAGGCGGAGCGGCGGGGCGGAGTACGTCCAAGAGAGAAAGACGAGGGAGCACGAGACGAGGAGGTTGGCGAGGGAGCGGGTGGCTGCAGAAATGGAGAGGATGAGGGCGGTCGCGAGCGACGCGCCTAGGAGCACTGTCGTATGGCAGGATGGGGAGAGGACGGCGCCCTCGAGGCTGTCCGCTCCTTTGCGCGGGTTGTGCACGTCGGTGTCGTAGTCGTAGACGTCGTTGACTCCGAATACGACTACGTGTAGAAGTCAAACCATACAAAAAGGGTGGAACACAAACGCGAAAGACGCACCTAGAGCAAGCGGGAAAGAAAGGGAGAGAAGTTGCAAAAAGACGAGAGGAGCATTCCTCGCGCGCGGGATGACTCTGCCTTTGAAGTTGCCGACCGCGTGTACCACGCCGATGGCGTATAGCGTTGGGCCGAAGCACCAGCCTGCGGGTCTACTTACTTTGATGATGGTTTTGAGGACGTCCAGTCCCGACCCAGACTGTAACACCAGGTCCATGGGCATATATCCACCAGTGGCACTTAGTAGTCGCTGGACTAGTAAAGCTCAAGCCGAGTTCATCGTTTGACAGACAACAACAACGAGCGCTTATTAGGCTTGACGCCCAAGACTCGAGTCCTGAACTCCCGACTTAGCGGCGCCAGTTCCACCTACTTCCATCCACGGCCTATCACCCTCCCGAGCTCTGACGGAGATCAGGAGTTGCAATATCGCAGGGTGTTGCGTCTAGTTTCGGGCATCACAGCGAAGTAACACACACCTCTCCGGAATCATCAATTCAACCCCAAGGTAAGTACTTGCCTACCGTGACATCGTCCCCGATCCTTACTGATCTCAGGAATCATACCAAAATGTAGCTATGCTTCAATCAGGCGCAATGGGCGTGATGGCACGCCCTCGTGCGATCGGGGTGCGAACCCGTGGATAGAAGTATGGCGGGGTGAGTCTACGTCTACAGACGGTGCACGGCGTACAACGAAGTCCGAGACTGAGGTCAACTGGGTTTATGCGAGCGACGGAACGCCGGGCGGTGACGAGCATGAGGTGAGTCACCAAGTTTTTCCGGGTCGCATTGTTATAAATATAGGGTAGGCGAGGGTGAGGGGGGGCCTGAGATCTGAGAGCTCGCTGGATGCTTGTCACGACTCAGCTCGGTCGGATGGAGGATTGTCCGTGATCTCCGAGCTGTCCGTGATTTAAACTGGTTTCAAGGCTGATGCCGACGTCGCAGTGTTGAAGGCTGCTGAAGGTCGGTCACAGCTTGGGGAACGTATATAACACAAGACCTTTGTCGCAGATACTACTACCGAAAGAAAGGAACAGTTTTGTGAAGAGGTGTCATATTCAAAGCTAGACGAGTCTAGAGAGACGACGGTAGGAACTGAAGTTTCCCCTGTGTATGACGTACTGGTGAGCAGCTCGGCTGGTTCGGAGGGCGACATGGGCCGTCGTGAGCACAGAAACCATGGCGATGGGCACTGCTGAAGCCAGGAACGCGATCGGGGGGACTGCACTAGTGCGGGGGTGGCGGTGTCGTGCGTGACGCGCTTGACGATCTTGAGCACGTGAGCGTGACCTCTCGCGGCAAAAATGGGGGAGTGGAACGGAGCCTGCGGTCGGGTGTGCGCAGTCGATGACGGAAGACGCGCCACCTTGGCTCCCCGCACCTCACAATCGCCAAAGAACACACCCCACCACCAGCCTATAGGCGGCCGCACTGGCAGGCGTCCAAGATGCTCCACAGCTCATTCCTCCCACAAAACCCGTCCCCCGTCCCGCCCCCTGTCTCCCACACTGCTCGCTGTTCCCTCGCCTGCCACTACCCGCCCCCCATACGCCCTCGACCAAAGCACTAGCACACGCGAACGGCCCAAGACTCGCCGTACACCATGTCGACGACGGCGACAGTCACCACCCGCATGCCAGCCGCGATCATGACCACCGAAGTGCCTCTAGTCACCGGCGACGTTCTCCGCGCCATCGACACTCCCGCCATTCCACCCCCCAGTGCATCCCCTCTAAGTTACACCAACGGCGCCGCACCCCGCAACGCTTCCCCCACCAACTCCACTGGCTCGCGCAACGGTTCACCCACCAACGGCAAGCCAAAGTCCAAGGGACACCGTCGAACCTCCAGCTCGGCCTCTGACATCGCCAAGGCTGCCGGTATCGACCTTGAAGCCGTTAGTATGGGTATGCTTTCCTGCGCTCTCCCAAATCACAAACGCTCAGCTGACTCTCGTGCAGCGGAAGCGCGCAAGATCATGTCCGAGGAACACAAGATCCTCGGCTTCCGCCCACCACAGGGCTCGTTTGCGGCCGAAGTGCAGTCCCTCGCGGCGAAAAACCCCGAGGGCAAACCCGGCGCCTCAGCCCCGGACACAAGCAAGCTCAAGGAGATCGCCCGCGAGGACGCGCTCCGGATTCTGTGAGTGTACCGCACACGCGCGCCAAGGGGCCTCGGGAGCAGTCCGTGCTGATTGTGGAGCAGGGCCGAACGCAAGACGAGCACGGGCGCAGATAAGGACGCTCTCCCCGCCTCGGCGAAGCAAGCTAATGGGAGCGACAAGCACGTCACACCTGCGCGGCATTCGCCTCCTATTCCTGGCGTAAACCTGAACAAGATCAGCGCAAGTACGTATATATCCACTCCGGCGGACAGCGCACTTGCCACTGCCAATTACTCGCAGTGGAGAAACGCCTCGCTCTCCACAAGCACCCGTTCACACCCTCCGCCGCCTCGTCTTCCATTCTTCTTTCTAGTCGACCCCATACGCCAGCTTCATACCAACGCTGACATCCTGTCCGCAGCCGACGCCCGCGTCCTAATGTCTCATGAGCACCGTGCGCTCGGCTTCCGCCCTCCGCCAGGTTCTCTCGCCGCCGAAGCGCAGAGCGCGGCCGCAAAGCACCCCGAGGGCGACGGCACACAGCTCGCGGACGCCATCCTCCGCGAGATCGCGCTCCGCGACGCGGAGCGCATCAAGGCCGACCGCGAGCTCGCGCTCGTCGGACAGGCCCCCGTCAGCGCCGTCGATAAAGGTATGCCTCCCCCCCTTCTCTCTACTCTTCGCCCCGGAGAATCCGGAGCTAGAGAACGCGGCGCTGATGCGGTTATATGGCGTTGGCACAGCGGCGGCAGCAGCCATCGCGTCTACGGAGGCACGCGCTCTCGGCCACCCGCCGCCCGCGGGCAGCCTCGCCGCCACGGCGCAGAGCGCGGCGGATAAGCATCCCGCGGGGGGTTCGTTCGCCCCAAGCAAGGACCCTGTCGCGCTCGCGCAGCTGCAGGACATCGCGCACCGCGAGGGCGAGAAGCTCCGCGCGGAAGAGGAGGACGTGGTTGCGGCCGGGGCCGCGCAGGCCGTGGCGAAGGAGGCGTGAGTAGCCCGTGGGCACGTACTGTCGGTATACCGGTATCATAGTGTTAATCTTCTGTCGTTTCTTTTTTTTTCTTCTTGATTGTTTTTTCTGTCTTTTTTGGGACACGCGCAGGTCTGCCGCGGCGAAGCTAGTAGTCAATGCCAGCGCGGCCACCACGCCGACGCCTATGTTTGCAAGCATGAGATCGAGCCCGAAGATGACAGCCAACGAGGCGGTCGAGGCAGAACTCAGGCTCTCGACGGACGAGGCCGTGCGCACGGTGTCGACAACGCCGCCGCTGTCCCGCACGGAGACGGGCGAGTCGGTCGAGATCGTCGGGGACGTTCTCGCGTGAGTGCGCCAAGTCACTGAGAGGGCGCGAAAGGGTTTGACGTGCCTCGACGCACCAAGTAATTGGGTTAGACGGTGGTGAATGGACTTGGACAGATGCATCCGGTTTAAATAGATATTCGGAGGACGTGTCGGCGCTGGTCTTCTCCCGGCCGCAGCTGAAGTCATGTACAAAGTTGAATGTATTTCTAGCAGATACTCTACCAGCTTCATGTATTATTAATGTTACGATCGTGTGCTCTTAAGGCCAACGCTCCCCTTGCTCAAGCCCGTGTGCACATTGTTCTGCGAAGTGTGTATATGTTTCAGGGCGGCCCCCTTCAAGGTATATCTCGTTGGAAAGCATGGAAAAAAGAGACAGGAGGTTCAAATAATGGTTGTAATGACGAGAGTGGGATTCGAACCCACGCCCTTTCGGACCAGATAGCAAACGATGTCACCTTAGTCTGGCGCCTTAGACCGCTCGGCCATCTCGCCATATCAACAATGGGATTTTTAGTAGGTCCAGCGAGAAGTTCTCATTCCCCATCTCGATTGCCACCGTGACCCTACCATACTTTGGCCATGCTTAACGGAGTCATTGTAGTGCCTACCGAACGTCCCTCGAGCCCCGCCGTTCAGTGACCCGGGCGGCACCGCCGTCGCGCAGGCCTCAGAATGAACCTAGGCAGCCGTCCATGCCCCTCTCTCACTACCAGGTGACAACTTTCCCCCCTCGAGGCTGAGTCTTAGGCAGGTAGCCCTTAGGTAGCGCTGGACACCACACCCAAAAGCCAAGCTTAAGGCTCCGGCAGCTACCGTGGATGTTCAGCCTGAGTAGTAGCTACTAGTAGGCCCCACGAAGTCCCCATTACCCGGGAGTTGAAGCCCACCAAGAAGTTAGACTTCCCGGAGGGGCTGTAGACAACGACACCATGGACCGAGTGCAGGTTAATGAGCATCGCCCACTCAGGGCAGGAAACCAGGAGGGCCCGGGGGGAATATCTGGCTCTGCGTGCTCGCCAGGCCTAGGGGCGCGGTCGAAGAAGCGGCCGTCCAGCATATCGCTCGAGGACATCGATCAAGAAGAAAACCCCGACGACGAAGAACGACAAGGAGTTCAATGCGATTTTTCGCGCCGACAGCCTGCAGTGTCGGACGCGCACAGATACGGCGAGCTCGAGCCTGAACCGAGCTCTTCAGGTGAGCTGATTGACCGGAGCGAGTATACTCATGTATGGTCTGTATGGTCTGACAGACGTTTGAGATAGGGGAAACAGAGCTCGAGCCAGAGGTTGACTTGTCGTTCTTAGAACGCCAAAGACTCCTGCCCTCGGGGCCGTCCGTCATCCATCTGGAAGATCATACATCGCGAGGCAAACCGCCCCTACGATCGAAGAAGAGGCAGGCACCGCAAATAGAGTGGGACGCGGTGTTAGAGGAGCTCAGTTGTGTGAAAGTGGCCGCAGGTGGAACACGAGGTGATTAGTCCTCCTGAGCCAGAATGTGGCGTGAAACATTCGCCTTCGTGGATCGTAAACCTGAAGACCCGTGTCCGCGCCCAAACTGCGAAACATGCCCAACGCGGCCGGACCGCACCTCACAGCGCTCCGACGAGCTCGTGGAAACGGCAGTGTTCAGTTTCCCGTAAGCCTTCAACTCTCGTCCGGCGACTAAAAGGAATTGTCTAACCGCGGCATCCACAAGATCGCGCATCTGAATTTGTGGAAGCTCCGCCTCTACCTATTGATACGTCCCCCGCCTGGTCTCAGCGGAGCACCTACGGCCCCTGCACCCACTTCAAACCGGAATGAGCTTTCTTGACGCGTGTTTCCAGTACGTCGAGGGTACTACCTCTCGCGTCGTCTCTGCTTAAGTTAATACCCGACTAACCGCCCGTCCAGCCCGCTATCTCAGCTGGCGCAATGGCGTCCGCCACCAGGAATCCAAGCTGGAACAACCTGAGGTACCGGGAACGTGACGTCGACGGCAGCGTCTGCGCGGTACTCCACGGCTCGGACCATACCATCGATGACATGAAACCACAAACGCACCCTGGCAGTGGCACTGGTCTGGAGGCGATCGACACGACGCTTCTCACGGCCGTCGATCTACTCACGGACGCGACTGCTACAAGGACGGCCGGCGCGTGGATCCCTTACCTTACGACGTCTGGAGTCAAGGTGACATGGCGGCATGCAGACAAAGCAAGGCTTTCCTCTTTTTCTTGGGGTAGGGCCCAAACAACTCGCCGACCGACTCGGACTCGTGGGGACTGGTAGAAGTCGGGCTCGCCAGCGACTCGGGGCAGCACTTCAAACACGTCTTCGAATCCGCAGCCGCCCCGGTGAACGCTTGGGAACACGCTCGAACGGTGGCTCGTTTTTCGGGGAGGACGGACACGCGGAGCCCATCCCTCAGCTGCGAGTGGAGGCGGACGAGCCTGCGAAGGTCTGGGTAGAGTTTCGCGACGCGGTGAAGCGATTCGTCGCCGACTCGGAAACGATGCGCATGTACCCTCAGAAGACCCTGCCTTCCACATTCGCGTCGCTTGTTGACTAGAATCAATAATATACTATAATAGTTCGACGATCTGACAATACACTGGGCCCCCTCTACTAGTGACATCAATCCAAACGCAGGAGGGTAGGTTTCCGGCGACCGATCTTGGCACTGGGTCGCGTAACGTTGATCCATGGCACGAGCAAGTACCTGTTCAAAATATAAGTACTCACCCGCGACGTTCGTTCACTTCAACACGCAGTCAACTAGGCATCAAGAACAGCACCTGAACATTCCAACCCGGGACGCCCGAACGCCTTGCAACCCCCAGTCCCCGCCAGTCCCCCGGGCCCGCCGCTAGCGCTACGCATACGTACACGCGTGATTGGCCGCTCAATCGCAAGGGACGACTCGCGGACCCGGAATTGATGATGAGCTCAGAGGATGATCTGCACCTATCTCATGCACGCGTAGCACTGGACCCCTGGTTCTGTTATGATCGACGGGACCGAGGTGCCCGGAGCCACGGGATTGGACGAGATAGTAGGCCGGCCGTGGCAAGGCTTGAGCACGGCGACCACCCCGAGCACTCGGACGGCGGACGGCGGGTCCGAGCCAATGAGGCGCAGTAGGGGATTGTTCGGCGTTCGTTAACGTTGACGTTTTGAAGGATCTTGGTTAACTGGTTGCCGGCTCAGCGTCGTCGGGTGCCGCGCGCGGCCGACCCTGGCGCACCTGGCAAGCTTCCAAGGGCCAGCGTCCGTGTCCGCGCACTCAGGCTCTGACACTAATAGACTTTGATGCGAGCGGGCGTGCGTACCTAATTATACGCAGGGCCCCGGCGGTTCGGTCCAACGGGCGCTCCACTTCGAAGCACTTCGTTGAAGTGCATCAAGGCCGCATCGACGCGAGTTAAAGTTTGATATGTACATAGTACCTGCCGAGATGCCGGTCGGAGGGGAATGGAGACGCAGCGGCGCGCTCTTCGAAGTCGCCTCAACGAGTTCACGGCAACGTGCACTGTGTATGCATGTAAGTGACGGCGGTGTGACATAGATACTCACTCACTTGGTTCCTAGAATGCGCCGCCTCCATTTCCTCCCGTCGGCTTGCAACTGAGCACTAATAGTACCGAAGGAATACGACTCAAGAGTCAACGCGCCTTCTCACAGACCCGTCTCAAATTAAATCGGTAGCACACCATCACACGACCACACGACCACGGGTGGGTTTCCATCATGCTCTGTTGTATTGGGGTGCTCTGCTACGAGCGGACGTCAAGATCTCTCGCGCGTGCCACGCCCCGCGCCTGCAAGCATCGTGGGGCGGTGGGGTCTACAGAGCGTCCGAGTGCAAACGGATGAAGAAGAGGGGGTAAGAAGAATGCAAGCTAAAACACAGCAAAGGGGAGAGAGGGGTGCGCGGACGACGGCAAACTATAACGACGGGCAACGACAAACAAAATGCAGGAGGGAATCAATCGATGTGGGGTGAGTACCTAAGAAAACGAATGCGACAAGCCAGCGCGTATGGGGGGGACGTGCGCGAAAACGGAAGACAAAAGGGCGCGTGGGGAGGTGTGTGCGGCGGGGGAGGTGGGGTCACCGGCCAGTGCTGAAGAGCTTAGAGGCGGCTCTTGCCGAAACGCTTGGCCTTGCCGTTCTTCGCGGCAGCAGCCTTCGCAGCGGCGTTCCTCTGGGCGGCAGCCTTCTGCTGGGCGGCAGTGATCTGCTGAATGGCAGAGGCCTGCTGTGCGGCGGCAGCCTTCTGGGCAGCAGCGGAGTTCGCGGCGGCACCACTGGCGGCGGCGTTGCCACCCTTTGCGGCACCTGCACCCTTAGTGGCACCCGCACCCTTCGCGGCACCGGCACCAGCACCGGCACCGGCAGCAGCACCGTTGTTCGAGACCGTGAACTGCAAGGTAGACGTGCTAGTCAGCCCATGGCACTCACGCTAAACATATCGTTGTGGACTCACGTAGACCATGTCGTCGAGCGAGCCGTGCTGCGCGATGGCGACGAGCGCAGGCTGGTGGTTCGCGGCGGCGTTGATCGAGGCCATGCGGTAGAAGCCAGCGGGGAGACCGCCGCCGACCTCGACGGAGAGGACGCCGTTGACGGCCTTGTCGTTGAGGCCCTTGAAGAACGCGAACTTGTTCGGGTCCGTGACCTGGGTGGTGTCGAGCGAGGGGATCGCCTCGATGACGACGTGCGAGTGGCCCTGGATCGTGTTCTGCGCGTTGAGCTGCTGGGGCGCGGCAAAGTAGTTGGCCTGCGCGTTCGTGAAGTGGCCCGTCTCGAGGTTCTTGATCGCCATCTGGATCGTGAAGTTCGTGTTCGCGGGGATCGTCGCGAGGTTCTTCGGGTTCACGAACTTGGACGACGGCATCGCGGTCGTGGGCGCGATGAGACCCATCGGCGCGGGGTTACACGAGCCGGTCTTGACCTGGGCACCGTTGGTGATGGGGAACTGGGGCACGGTCGCGCAGAAGTTGATGAAGTTGTTGGAGGAAGTGAGGGAGGCGACCTGGCCGGTGACAGGCCTGCAGTTCGCCATTAGCACCCACATGCACAGGCCCTCAACAAGACCGTTGACTTACGGTTGCTGGCCGTTGTTCTGGAAGCCGGTCGCAATGACCGACTGGACGAGCGTCAGAGATGACTGTGCGCCAGCGTTGGCGGCAGCGGCAGCGCCCTGTATATAAATTTAGCATCTACCTGCGGAGCAATCATGGATTAACTTACCGCGTTGTTGCCGGCAGCGGCGCCGCTGCCCGCATTGTTACCAGCGGCAGCGGTGCCCTTGCCCGCACCGGTTGCAGCGCCCTTGCCCGCACCAGTAGCAGCACCTTTGCCAGTAGCCGCGCCAGTGCCCTTGCCAGTGGCCGCGCCGGTGCCCTTACCAGTAGCAGCGTTGTTGCCACCCTTGCCGCCGAAGCCCTTGCCCGCGGCGGGGTTAGCGGCGAAGACGGAGCTGCCAGTAGCGGCAGCGGCAGA